GGCAGCCGTCAGCGAGTCTGACCGGCGGGTGGTCCGACAGCGCACCCAAGCGTCCCGCCAGCCAGTCTGACGCCGGCAGCCGTCAGCGAGTCTGACCGGCGGGTGGTCCGACAGCGCACCCAAGCGTCCCGCCAGCCAGTCCGACACCGGCAGCCGTCACGCCCCGGTCAGACTCGGGCAGCCCGTCCCCCCCCCCTCACCCCACCCCCACACTCCCTGCGGCGGTTATTCAAAGTCCACCTCAACACAGGGTCTCGCGCCTTCCATACCTGGGCGAGGACTTGACGAGGAACAGGTGCTGCAGCTTGACCGTGCGCAGGCTGTCCAGCACCTGGCGGGTCTCCGACTGCATGACCCGCACGGCGTCGGCCGTCTGCAGCTGCACCGACTGCGGTGCGCCCTGCATCTGGCTCATGCTGACCATGCCGTCCTCACGGCTGTCCGACATCTCCACCGCCCGCTGCATCAGGAACGTCTCCAGCTGGGGGACACGGGGTCAAAGGTCAGGATATCTCCATCGCCCGCTGCATCCGGAAACATCTTAAACCGGGGAACACGGGAACCGGGAAACACGGGATCAGGACAATCTCCACCGCCCGCTGCACCAGGAGCGTCTTAAGCCGAGGGACGCGGGGTCACGAGGTCCAGGACCTCTCCACCGCCCGCTGCGCCAGGAGGCGTCTTAAGCCGAGGGACGCGGGGTCCACGAGGTCAGGACATCTCCACCGCCCGTGCGCCAGGAGCGTCTTAAGCCGAGGGACGCGGGGTCACGAGGTCAGGACATCTCCACCGCACTGCTGCACCAGGGATGTCTCCAGCCGGGGGCCACACGGTCACCAGGTCAGGACATCTCCACCGCCCGCTGCGCAAGGAGCGTCTTAAGCCGAGCGACGCGGGGTCACGAGGTCAGGACATTTCCACCGCCCGCTGCGCCAGGAGCGTCTCCAGCCGAGGTGCACGCTGGCGGTGCCTACTGATCCCTGCTGCACCAGAAACACCCATTTCGACCTACAGCAGCTGCTAAGGGAGTGTAGCCGGGGGGGGGGGGGGGGATCAAGAGAAGCGACCCAACAAACCAGGTCCGGAACAGCACAACTATCATACTTGGCAGACAAGTTTAGACCTTCCACCTAGACAGACACAAAGTCTGGACGTCATCACCTGACGGCGGATACCATGAAGATCAAAATAAGTCCTTGCTCCACCTGCAAAAGCTCCGTCCCGCCGCCCGTACGAAAGTCTGTGACCACCCGGAGCCGGCCTCAGCTCACCTCCATGAGCTCGTTGACAATGACGGTGCGCGTGTGCGGGTTGTCCAGCAGGGAGAGCGCCTCGGTGTCACGCGCCACGCCGCCCTCCAGGCCGCTGTGCTCCACCGTGATGCCGGCCACCTCCACCGCGGTCAGGTCCACCGGCTCCTGCGGTGGACAGCGGCGGCGTCAGCGGTGGACGCCGCCGGCGAGCCCGGTCTCCGGCCGCGGCAGCCATCGTGAACGCGGCGCCAGCGGCCGGCGGCGGGCTCCCGGTGGGACGAAGGGTCCCGCCTCGCCGCGGCAGCCGGCTCAGCGCAGCGAAACGACAGGCTGGGTCGATAACAGGCAGGTTCGCCTACACGTCACAGCGCGATACCGCGCTGGTTTTTAAATATTGAAAGCTGGGTTTAAACATCCCCATTCGCCTTGAATGAGCGCAAGTGGTGTCCTTACAGACGCGGGCAGCCAGTGCAGTGGGCCCTAAAGAGCGCTGATATCCAGACACAGACCGTGGGGCGGGTAGCGTACCTGCGCGGGGACCTCAGAGCCCTCCTCCACCTCGATACCGCCCCAGTCGATGTCGCCTCCGGCATCACCTCCGGCAGCATCGTCACCGAAGTCTATCTCGGCCGAGTCGCCGAAGTCTATCCCGCCGTCGTCACCGAAGTCGATCTGCCAGGGACACACGGCACGACCGTCACGTGCCGCTCAGGCTTGATAGCGGACTCACCGGCTGCCGGCTGCCCCAGCTCCGAGCACGTCAGGCTATTCTACAACGCAGGAGCTGTGGTGGCGGTGCTGGTAGTTTGGAGCTTTTGCGATGGTCTTTTCTAACAGTAAAAATAACACAGGGCTACACAATAACTATGTTTTGTTCTTGGTTGACCATATGCGCGTGTCGTGCACAACAATACATGCATGAGCAGCATCTTCAAATGTTGTTTACGCATGTCCTATGGGTGATATGATTGTTGCACTGAAGTGTTCGACCATTCGGCGCCCCCTCGAATCGCCGCCAAAGATCATCACATCAAATCACAATGGCGGCACCTTTTATCTCGCTAGCCAAACCAACAAACTCCCCACAAACGTCAAGCGCTTGCCGACGCCCATGACCTGTCCCGGCCCTGAGGGTCCACGCCTGCTGACCTGGTCGTCGTCGGCGCCCGCCGCCTCGTCGGTCGGGTCGACGGCGGCTGGCGGCGGCTCCACGCGCAGCGGCGGCTCGCCGTACCGCCACTGGTACGTCGTGACGTCGCCGTTCTCTGCCGGAGGGCGGCACAGTCGGCGCCAGCTGACCACCGCTCACTGGTGCTGACGGCTCCCGAGTAGGCGGTGCAGGGGAGACTGGCCTCATCCACCGAGACGGTGGAGGGCGACGGTGGGACCCTCACTAGATCCACTAACGGGATGGTGGAGGGCGACGGTGGGGACCCTCACTAGATCCATCCACTGACGGTGGGGGGCGACGGAAGAGAGTCTCACCTCATCCACCGACGGGACGGTGGAGGGCGATGGTGGGAAACCTCACTAGATCCACCAACGGGATGGTGGAGGGCGGCGGTGGGGAGCCTCACCTAATCCACTGACGGCATGGTGGAGGACGGCGGCTCATCGCCCTAAGATCAGCATGGTTCTACAACCCAATTCTACCTGTCTCAACTGCAGCATGCTTTCACCACACCCCACTCAGATGACGCGCAGCTACGCCCTTGAAAGCAAACGCTCTCACCAACCACCGATTACACAGAGCTTGCCCGCCAGTATCGAGACCGCCGCGCAACAGTTCATCAAAGAAGTCGATAACACGTCCCCACGAACTGGGCACTTTTTCAGTGCGCACTGCTGAGACAACGGACCGATCAGCCCGGAAGTCCTTCATCCCAGCAATCCTTGGCAAACCATTGTGGCATCGCTCTCCACTGCGCCAGTGTGCAGGTGCCTACTGCCTACCGACGAAGTAGTGAAGCGTGGGCAGGAGCTGGTCGTCGGCGACGGAAGGGTTCACGAACTTGACGAACGCCCTGTAATAGGCGATGGGTTCCCGTAGCGCCTGCGCCTTCTCCACCACCTGGGCATACACCTGCGGCGGAGGGGTGTGTTGTCAGGAACTGCGCACTGAATGCAGGTCACCCATGTCAGACTAATGTGCATGTGAGGTGAGGCGAGAGCCAAGACATGCATAGAGGGGCTTCGACCTCGAAGGCCGCAGCGGCATGGCGTTCTCTTCATTTACAGAATCGATAACCAACTAGAGTGGCGTCTTCCCTGTCACACCGCCACATCGATCGATAATGCCAGTCCCCGGCGCCGTGGTATCCCGCGACAGCTGACTGCAAAACGCTCATCCATCGCGAGTGCGCTGAATTTGGCCCGCGGCGAGAATGATCAAACTCTGGCAGAGTGCTCGGGCCACAGGACGGGCCGGGCGGCGTCAGTTCCACTACCGCCCACCACCTCCTCCACGCAGACTTCTTTGCCGCCGAGTTACGCACAGATCCCGCAGAGTCCGCAACCGTGCTCGCATCGCCCGGACGGTGCTACGAACCGCCCGTAGAAGGCACTCGGTGGCTTCCTCGTTCCGACGCTTTCCTTCGCCCCGACACCCCTCTGTCCTCTCTGCTGCCCACGACAGCTTCTTTCCGTCGTTCCTTCCGTCGGCTCCGTTCAATCGATTCGTCGTGTGTTGTTCAGGCCTGCGCTTAACGTCGTGTGTTGTTCACACCTGCGCTCGACGTGTGTGTTGTTTAGACCTGCGCTCGACGTCGTGTGTTCAGACATGCGCTCGCGGAATGCCTAAGCCCTGGCCGCCTCTGGTTAAGATGGCCGCGCCTGTCTATTGGATCGGTGGTTCCGTTCACATCTCTGGCAACGGTAATTTTTATCGACGAAAAAACCGCTGATGTGTTGCATCCGCAATTTTTTCGCTATACTCCGGTTCCAATAGTTCCGTCGAAACAATATCAAAACCCGGCATGATGACAAATATTTTCTCAAAAATGGTTCAAACGTGATCTTTCCTTCAAATACCACGCTTGAAATGGCATCCGTCACGACAAACTGACCCAAACAGGACGAGGTTGCAAACCGTACTAAGAAAGCTGCACCATGTTTTATACATGTTTTTATAGCAAAGCATCATCCAAGTTTTCTGATGTTGGCAAGCATCTTCCTCATCTTTATGGCGCCGATTATATCGTTTTGCATCACTTTTTCTGTCGCGAGCACTCGCGCTAAGCGTTTGACGGCGACAGCCACCTGTTTGGCGCGCCTCCTGCTGGCACCTCTTCCAGGGCACAGGACCAGATGCTCCAGGACGCAGCACGAGTGGAAAAATTGCCACTACCAGACGAGCTACGCAGGATACCGTCGACTGAATGGACAGTATGTGGCACCCTAAGAAGATGCCCATTAATTTCGAGGAAAAATAAACTGAGTCAGGCAGGAAGAGTGAGGAGAGAAGCGAATCCATAATACAGCATAAAAGTTGGCTATTACATGTTAAAACAGACTCAATGCTGTCCTGTCCTGTCTTGTTCTGTTCTGTTCTATTCTGTTCTGTTCTGTTCTGTTCCTGTCCTGTCCTGTACCTGACCTGACCTGACCTGACCTGACTTGACATAACCTGACCCCACAACATTCCCTTCCTCACCCCTGCAAAGTCCCACATAAAACGACGTCAGTTCGAAATCATGACGTCACGTAACACAAAAGGTTTCTATTTCCCACTCTTTGACAGTCGCTATCTCGCTCCGCCTCCTGCCCCACCTCTCCGGACCTCACCTGTGGCAGCTCGTCCAGCAAGTGCAGGATCTCTGTCTTCAGCTTGTGGCCCTGCAGACCCAGTTGCCGGCAGGAGGCGTCGTACTGGTCGCGCATTGACTTGGCGTTGCGGATGTAGTCCTGTTCCCGCTTGTCGCAGTCCTGCGACGGACATCCGGGTCATCGGGGTCGGGATCGGGGTCGGGGTCTGGGTCTGGGTCTGGGTCGAGGTCTCGGGTCAGGGTCGGGGTCTCAGGTCGGGGGCGGCTGGCGCTCAGTTAGGGCGATGACTACGGCATGGGAGGCGTGGCCACGCTGCGTTCATGCGTGACAGCTGGATCATGTCGAGTCACGATGACACTTGAGCTCAACAAGTTTTTTTCTGGGAATACCGTGCTGAAGAATACCATGGTACGGTGACCCAATTGTGGTGATGCGCTTTGGTACCACCGGTGTAGCTTTAGCATCCATGGTGATCGAATTGTGATGGTATCGCCAGTATCGTTTTGGCATCAAGTCTTAGGGATTTCAGTTTGAATTTGAGGACGAAGAGAGGGTTCCCAAACAAGATACTGGTGATAGGCGAGGATTAGTTAGGCAATGACAAAACAGCCAAACAATACAAAAGAGGAAGTATGCGGTGGACGTTCTCTACCACACCATGTTACCGCCTCAGAGTCGTACCGTCTGTGCCTGCTCCAGCTTGGCGATCTGCTTCTTGATGCCCGGTATTTCGTAGTTGACATTCCTAACCAGAGCCTGGGATGCCTCCGCCAGGCCCACGTTTTTGTTGACGTACATCTTCACCTGCAGAAAACGGGGTCAGATCTGAACACTACCAATCATACCATCACTGTCACATCACATCACATCATCACTATTCATATGACCGCCGCCGTCACATTTTTTGGCGTCGCTTTTATGTGTCACTGCACATGCTTAATCCTAAGGCACTCAAGCAATTCCAAATTGACTTTTCAAGTAATTTCAGTTTTAGATATATGTATTCCGAATGCTCCACATGAGGGACTTTAGGTTCCTGACACCTGCCAACCGGCTTTTTACTTGCCAGTTCGGTTCCCATTATGTGCAATCCGCGCCGTCAGCACGGCTCCAAATGATTAGTCTGCGCCCATCGACTGCGACATTCCGCTCTTTCGGTCAACGCCTCGTCCCAGCAGCTACTCAGCCACAAGACCACTGGGCTGAACGGTCTGGCCATTCTCCCGGCTATGCTCTCAGGTCAGGTCAACGAGGTCCGCCAGGAGGTCACGGGTGGGATGGTTCGATGTCGAGGTTGGGAATGTGACGGGGCGCGACCGTGCCCGTGGCCCGAAGTCGCCTTCCACGTCACGAACTACGCCGATCTGATCGGTGAGTGGGGACCGTGGATGGTCGGGCCGCCACTCATTGCGTCACTGAGCGGGACAGAGCTGCTCACTGTCTCACTGAGCATCACAGAGCTGCTCACTGTCTCACTGAGCATCACAGAGCTGCTCACTGTCTCACTGAGCGTCACAGAGCTGCTCACTGTCTCACTGAGCGTCACGGAGCTGCTCACTGTCTCACTGGGCGTCACAGAGCTTCTCACTGTGCCCCTGAGCGTCAAAGAGCCGCTCACTGTTTCACTGGGCGTCACAGAGCTGCCCACTGCGTCACTGAGCGTTACAGAGCTGCTCACTGCGTCATTTCGATACCTACGTAACGTTTGTTTGAGGGGAAGGTCAGGCTGACGTTAGATCTGTCGGGCATGAACTGCACCCCTATAATTCCCAGCCAAGTGTCCATAGGGGTAACCTGCTGGTGTTTCTCTAAGCGCGGAAGGAATCGATCTGCAGGCTTGAGCCGGGAAGTTACAATTGGTACTTACTGAAAGTATGCAAATGATGGCGGAAAATCGGAAAACGCTTCGTGCCTACATTTCTGGTTTGGAGACCACAAAAACTCAAAGTGCCCACGAAAACACTGCCCATAGCCATATCCAAGCTTGCTGTTGAAATCGCATCAACTTTGTATAACAATATCAGACCGGGACATTTTCCTTTTCATCTACTTTCCCTTGACACGATCTTGTGGTTAATCAGACAGTTGAAATGCAAACAAGGTGCCTTTTGGTCAAGCTTTACCGGCCGCTGTATTTTGCTATTGCAACCCAAAAAATCGGCACTTACCACCTCTTGCCAATCTTTCATCCGTTGGGATCCATAGAATCCAAATAAATTTTTGCTGTCTTTTTCTGTCTCTTTGAGGATTTCAATTATCTTCAAGCAATGGTAGTAGTTGATGTCTGCAATCAAACAACTAAGTCAACAGAGGAAGAGAAGATGATAGTGTTAGGATCAAGAATGTCAGTATGACAATAGACATAGATGAGAAATCCCTATGCATTGATCATAATCAAAATATCCTGATTAAAATCAGATAGTTATGATATAGATAAATCAAGCCAACCTTTAGAAAGGATGCTGTTTAAGTTGTACTATTCATTACTGTGCTGAGCATTATGTGAAAAAACACTGAGGCACCCAACAAAGGGCACTCCTAAACACAACCAAACCTCTCATCAAGTTGCCATCTCCCCATGAACCCTCACTGCCAGGTCAGCTGAGGGAGAGCCAATCATTTACACAGTCATCCCTGCCAGGCAATCCCACAATGCCTTGGGGGGTACTATGTGGGAACATCAAGCGTGGGATGACAGCTGGAAGGGTGTGCAGGGACTGACAGGGGCATCTCTGAACCATACTGGCCCAGTAGGCACTCACGGGCGCCCGACAGCAGCTTGACAATCTCAGGATGCTCTGGCATGTCCTGAATGGCATGGTTGATCTTCTCACGAATCTTCAGCACTGACTCCTGCCAGTTCTTCTCGCAGTGTCGACGAGACACCAGCCAGTCCATCAGCTTGTTGGTGTGGATGTCAATTGGAAGGTCCTGTGGCATGCCAACTTGGTCATTTCAGTGACCAGCTCCATCAATGGGCTAGACATGCAATCTTCTGTGCCAGCTCCATGAATGGGCTAGACATGCAATGTTCTGTAGCTATATGCTTACCTTACACACTAGTATCAATCTAAATAACTACCTAAGTCCACATAAGCTGGCACAGATGTTACAATTGTAGGCTCAGTTTTGTGTAGCAGCATACCATCCTTGCCTTCCACATACCAAGCCTACAAAAAATACATGCCATTTAGGCATATGCAAATGGCATGTATGGTGCAATGCACAATGCATGCCTCCTGCACATCATAGGTGACTACTTAGGGGAACAGCCATTGGTTGCATTGGCAGCAATATGAAATCCTGCTTACCTGCATACTTGGATATTTCAGTAGAATAATTCAAATAAAGACAACCTGCAAAAGTAAGCATCATATGTGATGAGACTTATACAGCTATGGAGCAACTAATACAACAATGCAACAAAATAATTTAGAGAGACATGGACTAATGTCTCATACACCAATGAACTTTTATTTCTCTCAGTAAGAATATCCATCAAGTCACACACATCTCAGGACAGCCCTTGTAATTTTGAAAAGGTTATCAATGCTAAATCACCTTGCCTTCACTTTGCCAAGTATTTTTTATTACTCAGCCGTTTTGACTCTGGTGAAAGACAATTGCTACCTCACCAAATAAGTGAGCAAAAGCAGCTAAGTACCATAATGGTTAGAACCAGAGAAACAGCATATTGAGAGTGTGGCCCAGCTACCAAGCTGACTGCATTTGTTCAACACCACAACATGTTGACTGCATTTGACACATGATGTGCATGGGGAAAAAGACACACAGTGCATTTCAGCTTGCACCAGCAATGCTTTGCCACATGCAATTAACTACCATGACAAGCTTAATCTTTGGCTGGCCTTTCTGTCATTCTTCATACTAACATCATGCAAAACTACTGACATACATGTTCTGCGCAAGAAATTCAGTCATTAGGTATTGCAGTCATATGCTGCCTAAGGATCATCTTTTTCTGTCACATGTGGGCTTTAAATGTCAAGGACAATTACAAGACACATTTTCAGCACTCATTTTCCCTGCCAAAAGGATGGCACTCCAGTTACATGTTGCTCATAATCAGATGTACGCTATTCTTGCAGCCTCCAGCCTGGCGTGCCCCGAATACAACAACAATCAATGACATGCTAATTAAACACTTCCCCATATTCACCTACTAGAAGAAAGTGCCAGTCATAGCAAAACCAACAGCGAGTATATTTGCCTCAATCCTCCCGGCCCGTCCGTGCCAGCGACAACACACGGAACTCGCGCGGAACGTGGTCCAACACACCAACATATGGCTCGCGTCTGCTGCGGTATTGACTTTGTGCCGCCGTAATTGTATACTAAACTGGAAGCGTCGGTGTGGCATGAATACAATACTGACATCTCATTGGTGTTGACAAAATTTGGTAGCGTAGCCCAGACAGCCAATGAGATGCTTTACGCCGTGCTCGTAGTGGCTGTAGGCCCGTTGAGCTGGTTCGTGTCGTGGAGGAGGGAGGATGCCGGGCGCGGGCTTTGCCATGCGCTGGTTTTCCCCCGTTCTGTAGAGGGTGGTGACGTCACTGATAACAAGACCGCAGGTAGCCGCCGTTAGCCGTGCATGGCGTCACTGCTAGTCGCATGCGGCGCCACCGCTAGCTGCTGGGTGAGACGTGCGTGACGGTGCGGGGACGGCTGGAACATTGAAATGCAGATATCGAACAAACTGTTAGCGGGAGTGCATGTGACCACCGGACCGATTGCGTAGAGTTTAATGGCCAGTATGGTTATATGCTTTGCAAGCCCATGTCGCTAACTACTTTAATGCCATCGTATGAGTGAAAACGTACACATGGGAATGGTATGAGACCGGACGCCTGGAGCAGCGGGATCTCTTCGCATCGATAATGAATAAACTGCCGGCGGAAGGTGCACGTGACTAGCGAGCCCATTGCGTATGATTTAACGTCGAATATGTTGATGTGCTTGGCAAGCTTATGCGACAAGCCACTACGTGAAATCGACATGGGAGCTGAAAATGCCCACGCGAGAACTGCTGTATGGTGGGTGGACAGGATATCCGCCGGCTTTCAGGGAGCTACGTGAGTAGAATCTATGTGGAGAGTATAAATGTGAACCAACTGCAGGCATAGCGACTAAAATACAGCCAGCGTGAAAAAACGAAAAAGCACACACGCCAACTTCTGCAGATAGGCAGCTTGAACATCGGGCTACCTCCTTGCCAGTGACGAGTATATATTCTGACTGGTAGGCGCAGCATATGCCATTTCTGCTGTTCCGGTGTCTCGCCTCCAGATCACTGGTACACACGGTACGTCCGAGGTCACTTCTGTCTTTGACAGTCGTCACTGGTGCCCGTCACAGGCCCTCGTCACAGTCCGTCCCGCTGGCGGTTTTCAGTCTTCTCAGTTGTTACTGTCTTCTCTCTTGGCCCCCACGGCCGCGTCCCTCGCACGGAACGCCTGGGGCAGGAGGAAGGGAGCGCGAGCGCCTCTAATCGGCGTTCGCCAAACTTCGGAAACATCCAACATAGGTGTTTTCTGACACCTTACACATATTCCACGAACCAATCAAGTATAATCATGGGGTAGGCGTGATCATGTGCTTTGAGAGCTTGCATTTAGTGAAGACATTATAATCTAATCAGCATAGAAACTAGCAAGGCGGTGGCTAGGTGCAAGGACGGTGGTACTAGGGAGAGGAACGAGTCCCCCGCCCTTCTCCACTTGCCTTAAAACACAGCATGAGCCCATGGATGTTAACTAAAAAGAGTTAACCAAATGCCAGGGGTGCAATTCCCTATCCACTTGAATTCGGTTAAGGGGGTTTCACCCACCTTTGGGGACAAATAGGCCAAAAATGGGGAAAACGCATTTGTTTGCATTTCTGGGCGTAGACTGGGTCATTTTTCACTCTTCCCGGTAACTAAAATACATATCCTCAAAATGGATATCGTGGAAAGAAATCGGGATGCCTATGGAAATGATATACTACCTCTTACCCGTCTCAATGAAAACAGTTGGTCTAGGTTGGTGAGAAAGTACTCTACCAATGCAAAGTATAATCTGCTTACCTAACTACCTACTGGGCAAAACTTTGCCATAGAAAGGTACGCAGCCTCCTCCAATAGTTACCTCACTTGCCAACAACATATCTGGCGCACCCAGCGCGCAAAATAACCGCTGAATATGCAGACTTACCGCGCTCGCTTTTGATTCGCACCAGCGGCGGCGATATGACCACGGGCGCGAGACCTATAAGATCGAAGTGTATTGTAGTGGCTGGCCGCTTAAGGTTGCCACGTATATTTTCATACTCGTCGTCAGTTTTTATGAGATCTGCTTGCTGACCACCCATATCGGTCTCCAACAGTCTGTTCGTTATAAGTACGAAGATAGCCCAATGTACATGCCGCCCTTTGACGAACAAGTATCGTGTGTGCGTCTTCACGAATCATGCTATTGAATTGTTATGGTTTGCCGCATAGGTTTGCAAGGCACGTAATCCTATTCACAACAAAATTACGTGTAGTTTGCGCGTGTGTCATGTGCAACTTATGTTACGCGTGATTTTCACATGAGATTCCTTGTTTTGCTTTCTTCTTGCTTAACTCTTATTAGCTCTTAAAAGCTCCTTAGGATAATACGTCAACCGGCGATAATCAGATTTCCTTGGATTAATTATACATGCCATTGTTAATGGCGGCTGTTGGCTAATTGGCAGGTAATGAATTTGCGGCTTATTATCGAAGGTAATTATATATATATATATATATATATATATATATATATATATATATATATATATTGTGTGTGTGTGTGTGTGTGTGTGTGTGTGTTGTGTGTGGTGTGTGTGTGTGTGTGTGTGTGTGTGTGTGTGTGTGTGTGTGTGTGTGTGTGTGTGGTGTGTGTGGTGTGTGTGTGTGTGTGTGTGTGGTGTGTGTGTGTGTGTGTGTGTGTGTGTGTGTGGGTGGTGTGTGTGTGGTGTGTGTGTGTGTGGTGTGTGTGTGTTGTGTGTGTGTAGTGTGTGTGTGTGTGTGTGTGTGTTGTGTGTGTGTGTGTGTGTGTGTGTGTGTGTGTGTGTGTGTGTGTGTGTGTGTGTGTGTGTGTGTGTGTGTGTGTGTTGTGTGTGTGGTTGTGGGTGTGTGTGTGTGTGTGTGTGTGTGTGTGATATACACTGCATTATTTAGCAGGTAATTATCATCGAGGGCAATTCCTGCCTGCCATAACCGACTAACTGGCAGCGACTGCAAACCGTGGCAAAGCGTTAACTCACCGACAATGCATGGGCTTTTACGAAGCAGATGATTTCGTCCTAACATGGAAAGCAAACGCCACTTCACTGGGATTCCGCAGTTAGGCATTTGTACATTCACACTGTCTCGTGCATGCTTGGCACCGGTCATTGTAAGGGAGGTCTATAGTGTAGAAGCTACACTCAGTCTGCAGGTTATGCCTACAACGATCGTAGCCCCTCAATTATGAGCGGAACCGTACAGCCAAACACCACGTATGCCTCGGAATTTATCCCCAGCAAATAGGTAGCTACCTGGTGCGAGGCTCAACCCGGTCTCGCCACGTAGCCCCCCCCCCCCCCCCCATGCCGTCACTGGGTAATGGCGGAATCCCTCGTCGGCACGCTGGAATCACACTTCGGCTTACAATGGTAGTCGCCGGAATCTCACATCAGCACGCCGGAATCCATCATCGGCTCATATGTGCGAACCTCGCCTTCTTAAGTCGCTGGAATGATACTGGCAATGCTTTCCTCGGTGATCGAATTCACTGCCGGCACTAAGGGTCATTCACACATGGTCATCTTGGCGAGTCCTCTTCTTTGGCCGCACGCCAATCCACCAACAGAAAAAAATCGACGGCAAGTTTCTTGTGAGTCGTAAGAAGGCAGCTGAACAGCGATTCTCGCGTTCTGTGAGTCGCGAATCCATCATCGCCCCATCCCATCTGTGAGTCGCAGAGAGATCGACCAACAGTCAACTCCCTAGTTTCTGTACGGAGTGGGACCTCACGTGGCAAGTAGGATCTTCTCTGTCGCTACCCGCGAGGAGTTATTCCTTAAAACATCTGTGACGCATTTAACCCGTCGTGACAAAATCATTCGAATGCACCTGTGGAAAATTCACAGTCGCCCCGACCTGCACGCAATATCTAAATTATGCAGAACTATAGGTAGATTGACAGAAAAACATGAATTTGATTACGGCGCGTCATATCTTACCTGCCTTAGTACTTTCCAATAGGACCCTGGAATGCGCCGTGACAATCCGCGACAATAAAATAGAGGGTCATAATCATAATAATAAATAATAAAGCGTCATATCCTTACGTACAGCCGAACCACTGCAGGCCAATGATGCGGTCAATGCGTCGATTCCGTCGTACGAAATTCAGGTAACAGATCACGCCACAGCTGCTGCGTCGGATTTCGGCATCGATCGTTCCAAAATGGCAGACTTTACTGTCAAGGCAACAGTATTATATTGCCAAATACTGCTCAGGACGATAGCGGTTACTGAGCATATTGCTATGTATTTAGTCGTTGAGTCGTATGTATTATGTACTTTAGTCGTTGGGAGAGTGAACAGGCAATTGACTGTGTCTGCGCCGAATCAAACGTTACTAGGTAATGCATGAACACATTAGCGGTAGTCCGTAAAGACCGCAGTGGGGTTCCCCAGTTCATTTGGTAAACTCGCCCCAAACTTTATTGGAAACCATTGCCAGTGTCGCTATCGACAAGCGATGTGTTCGTCCCATGTGCATATAGTATGTCATGACTAAAATGGCGGCAGGAATAGTCGCCGTTGATAGCGTGAACGTGTAGGGATCAGTGCGCCGGATCCCCCACTCTCCTGCTCGACGATCATCACCAGTCTTCATTTCATTGAGGTTATCGGCAGTCAGTAATTCAAGATAACAGCTTATAGCTGAAAAACTTGGTCACTAAGCGGACGCGCAATTAAACATAATATCTCGTAACCTTTCGATGCATTGCCTGATTCATCGAGGCAGTAGCATGTAAGCACGAAAATATTACACGGCATTTAATAGACCAGGAACAATGTCAGAGTACGCAATTAAAAAACACACGTTTTCATAAATTGTCCAAAAAAGGGAGAAATGGCATGTGCCGGTGAACTTAAAAAATCGTCGAACGGTCGGCGATTCCCCACCGGGCTTACATATGGTTGAAAGGGAGTCACAGCACGCGGGGCCGTCACTGCGCGCCAGGCTGATGGGGTCCCTCCTTATTGTGACTCTCCACGGTTGTGACTCCCCACGGCTGTCACTGTGTCTCCCCCATGCTGTTACTTTGTACTCTGATCCATGACTGACCGCGACCATGTTCGGGACGAACACCGGGCCGAACGTAACAAGCAAGAGCCGTACTCACACATTGGAAAAAGCAGCATGTGGCTAGCGGCTGATAGATACGCCGCGCGCTACACTTCCACTTACGGATTCTTTTACTGTCTGCACGAATATTTTGATGTTCGGACTGCCTCGCTGGGATTGCTTTCAGCGTTTAATTGCCCGCCGTGCACTGAAGTCTCAAAACCGGTGACGTCATGGTAACATAAAACGAAGATGAATAGAGTATCACTAGATGGTTTTACCTTTCTTGCGCACCTTGAAGCGCGTTGAGTCGGATATCTATACCGCAAGTTTTGTTGCGTACCTGATTACAGCCGGGTGTGATTTTTGGTTCAAGTGTTTATGGCGAGTTCTATGAATTGATGCCAAGTCCTATCTCCATGAGAGCTGTGTTAGAAATGTTCAGGCTATGGCCATTTAGTTTAGTTTAACCCAGGGAGGCGAGTTATTAGGTATTACTCAAAGTGACAAATTCCATCATGTCGGATGTGGAGGAACTCAAGGTTGGTGGTAAGCATGCATGGTAAACAATGGATCTCTTTCTCTCACATTGTGCCGATAACAGAGCATTAGAATTGTTTGTGGGCGACATGTTCATGAACTTCTGGAGTAATGATAAATCTGATTTAATGCTTCTCTAATGCCAGTGTTATAAAAGTAAAAATAATGAACTATAGCCTGCAGTGTTAATGCCTGTGGTATGGCATATGCCGTGAGGACAATAATGGGTAAGCCATGTTGGCCCATGTGCTGACTGAAAATGCTCCTGCAGCCTCCAGTTGATCTAGACTTTTATGGGCAAGATTGTGCCGCACATACTTGCAGTCACACCATCTTGCAGTTCAATCTGGTCCTGGCCATCCAGCCATTGAAATTTTGTCTCATTGGTTCATTCTCAGTTATATTTCTAGGCTGCTTCTAGCAGCTTGCTAGTATGCTTTTGAGTGTCCAAATTTAATATTGCATTGCCTAGAGGCTGCAAGTGATTTCATTGCTGCCACTCTGCCTGGTAGCTGGTCTTGTATAGTATCCTTGTATGTTGTGCTGTCAGACGTGTGCCTGGATCTGAAGGGTGGGTCCAGGATACCGTAGCTCAGGCTTTAAAAACACATGTAATGCATAACATGGCCTGTGTAGCAGTGACTTCTCAGGCAACAATTTTAGGGTGTATGCACAGTAAATCTGAGCCATTAGGAGTTTGGTATGTGGCTCAGCCAGTTTCATCACATAGACAGCCATTGTTTCAAGAAAGCATGGTGTTGGTCAGATAATTTCAGGGAAAGCAACTAGAAAAACCTCACATGATCATTTGAAAATTTGACAAAGTTGGCTTGCACTGAGTTTACCTCATGCGGCAAGAGGTTTAGAGCGGTGATGTGGGGGCATGAGGGGCTGTGGATGGATTTTTGAAGACTGGCTGATCGACTGGTGTTTAATGTGGTTGGGTTCCTGGGATTGTTCTGAGTACTTAGACATATATCTTGCTACTACAGTATTATATAATTGAAAGTTCTGCTTTTCAAGTTTCACAAAGAGTGTCTTTGATGGGGCATCAATCCTCACCCTAGATGTCTGTTTGCATTCAGCTGAATCTTTGACATGCAGCTGAATAGCAGTCAGAGGTAAACCAAAAGCTGCCTTGGGGTAGGCACCTTTATCATAATTATATATGTTAGCATCATTCCAGGATTGGAGCAAGCCCAAATTCCATACTCATATTTTGTCAGGTGACCCAAGTTACCCAAGTAAAACATGTTAATGTTTGGTACGTTTTTTGCACTACAGGGCACCTTGTTATTATAGTTCTATAAGCCATGGTTCTATTGAGAGATATGTTATGGCTACATTTCAAAGTCTGAAGACAGGGAGACCTGATGCCAGATGGAACCATTGTGGTGGCTCTGTTTGCAAGATGAGATGTGGACCTGGCCTGACCATGTGGACGTTCAGCTTACATGGGTACTTGTGAGAGGGAAAGTCTCACAGTATTAACTAGAATATGTAATGTTAGCAATTGGGATGTGTCACATACACAACATTCCATTATCTTGATACATAATAAGTCCAAAGACTTGCAACCTTTAGAGACTGGCAGCTACATTTCATATTTGACCATAATAATTGCTTTTTTGCTTTCTTGACCACATCACTTAGTTCAAGTTTGTGGAACAACTATTCAATTGTCATACTTCTGTGCTATTTAAATGATGTATGCATGTCTCTGTGCTAATCAAGGAACCCCAGGATTACTGATTGTGTGACCTCAATATCATCAAGATAATTGCTGCCAACATCATAGAATCAGACTACTATTGTCAAGAGTGTGCACAATTTGTCCCCAATTCAGGCACACTTGCAATTGCAAGATTGCTGCTGCTGTTGAAGCCCCAGGCAATAGAAGTGGTCTTGTCAGGAGTCAGCCATGTTGCACTTAAGGCAGCCTGAATCCAGGTGTTGTGGCTGAAACCAGCAGGTTGAGGGGAGGCAGCATATGCACTCAGTTAGGTCATAACTTGATGGTGTCATGCATGGCAGGGGATGATGGGTGTCCCAGCACATATCTGATATTGCATCATGCCAGTCCCTCTCTCGCTTCTCAACAGTGGACGGCCGGGATAGAGGTTGCGAGTACACCCCTGACATGACATCAGTCTCCGCGCCTCTGCCTGGCAGCGGATGGTGATGACATTTCGCGTGTCTGAGCTGGTGATGCTCCTCGGCTACGCCGGCCGCAACAAGACAGGACGCAAGCAGGAGCTGCAGGCGCGTGCGCTCGAGCTGGCCAAGTCGCGCGTCGTCTCCGTCGTCAACAAGATCCGCGAGCTGTACAAAACCATCCAGTGAGTGATGACGGCCTGTCCTTGTTGACTGGGGTGCATGTTCCGGCTGCCCCATTCAGCGGGCATCCTCAGTTGAAGTGCTGCATTTCCTGTGTTGATGTATGTCTATCATTGTGTGGTTAAGAGGCGTGGCATGACAGGCGATTGTCATCCAAGAGGACACATTGAGTTCATTGTACTGTGAGTTTCCTGCGTGACGTCACGCACGTGGAAACCCACTTCGGAATCCATGAATGTTCCAACGTCGCCGCATTCGCTGGCCAGCCAAGCCGGAGCTCGGCTTACTACTGTCCCCCTGCCTGCCATGTAAAAGTTCAAGTCGACCCCCGCCGTGGAAAAATGGCGTGTGGTAGTTCGCGTTTTCCGACATGCGAGAAAATGCGGTTATTCGCATGCGGGGACCAGTCGCGATCTCCTGTGCCGGTCACGGAGATACGGAGTCGTGCATTGGACTGGCATTAACCTCAGCTTTGTTTTAATTATTTCGACTGGCTCATGTGAATGAGAACAAACAAAGCAAGCTTGTCTTGTCAAAACTGCATTACTTGTGGAGGGATCAGTTTAGACCAATCAACGTCAGCACAGTTGACCTCGGGTGTTATTTTTTCTCCAGTGAAGGCTTTGATAAGTGAGTGTTGTAAGACTCCAAAGATGCGATCATGATACTTGTGTAGAGCTGGAAGTGAACTGTTATCCAGAATGGCATTCAGTTTGCTGCAAAGTTAGATTTGGTGTCTATAGCAGGATGAGTGCAGCCCCAATGCCTCCAATAAGCACGCCGTCTTCGTATGCCTCGGGCAATGTAGAGGCTGTACCTACCACAAGGTGTTCCAACTTTGTTTTGGCACGAGGGGAGAATACTGGTATATCGAGGAGCATTGTTCAGACGCAGCAGCTGCACAGCAACATAAGTTTTGTCGCTTTTGCGTTGGTTTGTTTAGTACATCTCACCATAATGCTAAGGCCCAATGTCCCGCCATTATTTCGTGATGCTCAGCTTGTTGGTCCCATATGATATAAACCGACCTTTTAACCCTGCTTGAAACCAAAACGTCCCATAATTATTTTAGGGTGACGAACAAATATCTAGCCAAAAAGCAGACAGTAGCTCAAATTTTTGATATATAAATGAATAATCTTTTTTCTGTCGGTCGAACCCATTAAACGCGTTAGCCTGGACAATCGGTGTACATCAACGGTAATTTCAAAAACTGAACGGCAAAAGCTGTTCGGTTCGGGTGTCGTTGGTGTCCGTCAGTGCCGGTCAGAATGTATGTGCTTTCTCAGACTAGCGCCGTGGCGTATGTTCACACCGGACGGCACGGAGGACCCGAAAGCACCGATGCATCCGCAGGCATCAGGTGCGCATGGGTTGCAACCATGACTCGTGGTCCTGCATGGAATCGGACTCCTTGATCAGACCATGTATCTACCACGACCACGTACATATCTGTTATAGACCTTGTATGGATCTAGGCCACGTATTCCACAGCGTTTCACGTGTTGAAAAAAGAAGTCGAATTAAATGTATTACTTCCGCAGTAATGAACAGGGAGCCAAATGAGATTTCTCTCACAGGGTCGGCTAATTCAAACAGAGATGCGGAGTTAACCAGGAGGATTTCGAGAAAACTGGTATCACTGATTAAATCGTACACATCTGATGTAACCATAATTGAGGGTGCAAAAATGTGGGATACTCCCTTAATAAACGCTTGGATGAGGGGAATTCAATTTGACCCCGCCCCCGAAGGTTTTTCAAAATATCTCCAACGTTTGTGCAGCCGCGCCTAACGTGTGGCTGTGGGCAGCTGACCAGCCGATCCTTTCGTTTGAGTAAATGCATACAAGCCGTGTGAGGTCGCTGACCTATGGCAGATCATAGGCAGCCCACGGCTGTCAGTGAAGGCATTCCGTGGGTAGCCGTTCAATATGCGGCGACGGTGTCGCGTCGGGGTAAGTCATACAGTCACCAATGCGACCAGTACGACCCTCACGGCCTGAGTGAAGGCATTCCGTGGGTAGTCGTTCAATATGCGGCGACGGCGTCGCGTCGGGGTAAGTCATACAGTCACCAGTGCGACCAGTACGACCCTCACGGCATGCACGCTCGCGGCCTTGGGAAACCGCAAATCCCCGGTACTGAGTTCGATTCCCCGCTGCGCCCGCCCTTCGCGCCAGGGTGAGATGCATTCGACGCCGCATAGCCTCAGCAGCTGGGTGCGTCGTAAAACACCAATGACTAGTTTATTAGGCATCACGCTGTCGGGCGCCGGCCCACGTCACGCCCCCGACACTAATCGCCACTCCTCGTCAGTATGCTATGTCGTAGGGGGTCTATCGCGCATGCGTAAAATGGCGTTCCTTGCGGCCGGCAGGCTTCATTTTCCCATTGCTCGCAGCTTCCAAACAGTCAACGCCGGTATCACGTTAGTGCTCCCAACAAACTTGTTTGACACAGAACACAGAGACAAAATCGTGTCGAGTGGCACTCACATATGTTGATTTTTGCGCAGTTTTTTCAGAATGCGAGGGGTGATGTGTAGTAGTACGTGCGATATATAGAACTGGACTATTTTGCATGGCGTCCTGTCCGTGGGTCCAGTCGTGTCATGTACGCTCGTGGCCTTGGAAACCGCGAACCCCGATAAAATACATTCATGGTAAAGTGCCTTATTTTTTAGTTTGTTTTTCGCCGGTCAAAAGTCTGCACCGCAATCCTCGCAGTCCCGCACTGACTCATAGCGTGAAGCCGTAGTCCCCATGCTGATAAAGAAGGGGCCCCAGCCACGCCCGGCCGATGCTAAGTGACGGCACCGGCCGGTAGATGTCAGCGCCGGCGGGCAGTGGCGCGCAGTTTTGGACGCGCCGTCTGACCGCGCGCGCCCCGGAGCCGGCGCGCCGATTACTCGACTCGTCACGGTGACCCGCCTGCTGACCCGCGGTGCGGTGCGGTGCGGCCGGCCTCTCGCTGCCGGGAGCAGGCCGGCGGGCCCGGGCATGTGGCAGCGGCGTTATGAGCGCGTCCTACCCATCCCCTCCCGTGGTGACGGGGGCCGACTGTGTTATGGCGTCGTCGGGTCGAGATTGGTTCCGCTCAGGTGAGGCTGCCGTGGCGGCGCAGCTTTACTGGCACTGCGGTCATCCGTTTGCTGTCGGCGACAGTACCCACATGTAGCCGCTTTTGGGGAGCGGCATGATTGTGTTTGGTTGTGGCTGGGTGTCGTAGGGTGGCGATTTTGCTGCTGCGATTTTTGTAATCGGGCCGGCCAAAAGTCAACCTCGTGTTTTCGCCACACGCGGTGATTTGGTAGGTGTTGACACTGCACTAGGAGGGGCGCTACGCTGACGCATGGCCTCGCCCGCATCCCCCATTACCAAACGCCGTCCTTGGGTTGCGACCTATGACGTCAGAGGAAGCGCGTCATAACAGCTCCAACGGCTGAGAGGATGGTCGCTTTTGTATGACGTAGGTACTTGAGACGTCATAGGCAGCAACTCAGAACCCCGTTCTGCATGAGCGAATGTAAGTTCATTTCGTACTTTGGGGTAACCCCATTCCTTACCTATGACGTCATGACCCAAGCCCATTCCCTAATTTACCTAACCCTGAAATATCCTTGAAATAGTCTCCACGAAGAAGTCTGCTCTAGACAACAGTTCTTTATTGGGTAAAAACCCTCTAGTTTCTGAGCTTCGCGGGCGTGAAGCTCAGAAACTGGAGGGGGTCTTAAGAGGGCCAGGACTGTGAATTGCACCGAATGATCTCTACGTTGACTCTTCCAGTCCAAAAATCCATACAAATGTGGAACATTCCCTCTGAAACTATGCAGGCCAGTCATGACTTATTGATCCGAATATGAAAACAAGTCATCATGTGCTGAACACATCTTCAATCCTATATTCACAGTTTATATTTGATGTGCAAAAAACGTATCCGTCCCCGACGACATTACCATTTGGTGGCCCGAAAATAGTTTCGCAAAATAACATCAGACGTGACACGAAGATAATGTAGGACGATGGCGGGCCGTAGCTATCGTTACCGTCGTCTGTGTTGGGCCGTGGCTACCATTACCGTCGTCTGTGTTGGACCGTGGCGACCGTTACCGTCGTCTGTGTTGGGCCGTGGCTACCATTACCGTCGTCTGTGTTGGGCCGTGGCGACCGTTACCGTCGTCTGTGATGGGCCGTGGCTACTATTACCGTCGTCTGTGGTTGGCCGTGGCGACCGTTACCGTCGTCTGTGGTGGGCCGTGGCGACCGTTACTGTCGTCTGTGGTTGGCCGTGGCGACCGTTACCGTCGTCTGTGGTGGGCCGTGGCGACCGTTACCGTCGTCTGTGGTGGGCCGTGGCGACCGTTACTGTCGTCTGTGGTGGGCCGTGGCGACCGTTACCGTCGTCTGTGTTGGGCCGTGGCGGACCGTTACCCGTCGTCTGTGGTGGGCCGTGGCTACTGTTACCGTCGTCTGTGTTGGGCCGTGGCGACCGTTACTGTCGTCTGTGGTGGGCCGTGGCGAGCGTTACCGTCGTCTGTGTTGGGCCGTGGCGGACCGTTACCGTTGTCTGTGATGGGCCGTGGCTACTATTACCGTCGTCTGTGGTTGGCCGTGGCTACCGTTACCGTCGTCTGTGTTGGGCCGTGGCGACCGTTACCGTCGTCTGTGATGGGCCGTGGCTACTATTATTGTCGTCTGTGGTTGGCCGTGGCTACCGTTACCGCCGTCTGTGGTGGGCCGTGGCGAGCGTTACCGTCGTCTGTGTTGGGCCGTGGCGACCGTTACCGTCGTCTGTGATGGGCCGTGGCTACTATTATTGTCGTCTGTGGTTGGCCGTGGCTACCGTTACCGTCGTCTGTGATGGGCCGTGGCTACTGTTACCGTCGTCTGTGTTGGGCCGTGGCGACCGTTACCGTCGTTTGTGCGTCTGAGCGGCCACGTGTCCGCCGGCAGGTCGCAGGCGGGCCTGGTGCAGCCCAACATGAACCCGGCTGGCGGCGGCGGCGCCGCTGAGCGCGCCCCATACACCAGCGGCTACACACAGGCCATGCTCCAGGTGAGGCTGCTCGCCGCGGCGTCAGGGCATACAGTCTCCGGGTGACGCCGGGCGTCAGGGCATACAGTCTCCTGGTGAGGCCGGGCGTCAGGGCATACAGTCTCCGGGTGACTCCGGGTGTCAGGGCATACGCTCTCTGGGTGACACCATCAGGGCGCACTTTCAGAGCGTCCGAGTCTGGTTGTCCAGCCCTGACGCGTGTGTGCCGTCTGTTCTGTAGCTATGCTGCGTTTGTCTCGACTGATGCCCAGCTGTGTCCCCACCGTATTGTCCTCCCGACTAGCGGCGCCGGTCAGCGGAACGCCACCGATGAAGCTTGTGTTTATTCTCTGGCCGATGAAGCCTCTCTTCATTGACCATGGGACCAATACTGCGTGGGGTCATAGGTCAGAGGTCATGTCAGACTCTTCTGAACATTTTGGCCGGCGTTCAAAACTTCTGTACGGCAGCTCGGTACGCACCACAGCGCTAAAAACGGCGCTGAATGTGGCTGTGCCATAAAGCTTCAGAAGAAATACTTGGGGGGAGGGGGGGGGGGCGGCAAACGCGCCTGTCTGCGGTGTTCGTGCCGAGTCGCTGGCTATTTCGTGCGTGTGTCGCGGTCGGCATCGCCGCCAGCCGCGGTGCTGCAGCCGGGGACCGCGGAGCGGACCGCGCGTTGACGGGCGCGCTGACCGCCGCCAGGGCCGCAGCTCCTTCACGCCCATGTACATGTCCGAGTACCCCAGCAAGCCGGCGGCGACGCCAGCCGGCTCCAAGGTGCCGACGCACCCGGACGTGGTGCTGAAGACGCTGCCCTTCTTCGACGTCATGAGCCAGCTGATGAAGCCCACCAGTCTCGGTAGGTGGGGGTGGGTGGCGGACGTCTGGCCCGGTAGCGACTACAGAACAGGGTTGGATATGTATCAATAAGCCGGTCAAAGCGACGATGGTGGCTGACCAGACTGGCATGCTTTCGTGAGCCAGCGGAGATGCCAAGAGATGTGCCACAGAAACGCATAGGAGTGTTGATGGCATGCACAAATCCAGTTCATGGTAGAAAACCGGACCACCCGCAGCAGTAGCTGCTGCTCCGACCCCGCAACACGGTCTGTTCCTGTGCGCCATCATCTGACCACTGTCGGCGCTAGCCCCTGTCTGGGGTCGAGCTGTGCCCCGGGGAAGACTGCCGGCCTGCCGCCGCCGCCACCGCCCCGATCCTCTCGGCCGGCTGCGGACCGACAGCGGCGATGCCGTCCCCTGTGTATGGCTGGGCCGACCGGAGACCGCCTCTGCAGGCCGGCCCGGCTCGCCCGTCTGCCGTGCGCGCGGGCCGTGTGAACTCGCCCGGCTCACATGCGAGGTGTGAGCTGCGCCGCGTGAGTCGCCTGACCTCGACGGGCGATCCGTGCGCCGCCAGCCGCGTCGCCTGTGCCCGGCAAAGGCTACAACGACGGCACGTTCGGGTTCCACCTGACGCCGCAGCAGGCCGACGAGATTGCGTCCAACCACGACGGCCGCATCGGCACCAAGCTCGAGTACCCCGTCCAGGTAATGGAGCTGACATCGAAGCCAGACCGGAGTACCCCGTCCAGGTAACGGAGTTGACAACGACACCAGACCGGAGTACCCCGTCCAGGTAACGGAGTTGACAACGACACCAGACCAGAGTACCCCGTCCAGGTAACGGAGTTGACAACGACACCAGACCAGAGTACCCCTTCCAGGTAATGGAGCTGACAACGACACCAGACCAGAGTGCCCCGTCCAGGTAATTGAGCTGACATCGACACCAGACCAGTGTGCCCCGTCCAGGTAATGGAGCTGACATCGACACCAGACCAGAGTACCCCGTCCAGGTAATTGAGCTGACATCGACACCAGACCAGTGTGCCCCGTCCAGGTAATGCAGCAGACAGCGACACTAGACCGGAGTACCCCGTCCAGGTAACGGAGCTGACATCGACACCAGACCGGAGTACTCCGTCCAGGTAACGGAGCTGACATCGACACCAGACCAGAGTACCCCTTCCAAGTAACGGAGCTGACATCGACACCAGACCAGAGTACCCCGTTCATGTAGTGCAGCTGACATCGACACCACTCGATCCCCGCCCGCCTCGGTAGCGGCGCGTGCGTTGCATAGAGCGGCCGCCGCACCGCCGCCTGGACCATTGTTCGCGCCAGCTTGACCAGGCGGGATGCCGTCGCCAGGCCGAGGTGAACTGCGACTACCGACTATATAACAGCATGTAGAGCTAGTTGAACTGTGTCATGACAGCGATAACATGTTGGAACGGGAAATCCGTGTTTAAGACGACGCTGTTGACCAAAGTGTCTCGCGTTATCAGTTGACATTGGGTATCGGATCCGAGAATGACGCTTGCCAGCGTGTTAATGCTTGCGTATGAGCTCTGCGGAGACGCGGCTTCTGACGGCTGGCGGTGGCCGTGTCCCAGATCCAGATGCGGCTGTGCATGCTGGAGACGTCGTGTCCGCAGGAGGACCACTTCCCGCCCAACATCTCTGTCCGCGTCAACAACAAGACCTGCCAGCTGCCGGTGAGGCGCTCGCCCCAGACGAGAGGCCGACTTGGCCGTCTGCTCACACTGACAGGGTTGCTCCAGAGCTCAGGCCGCTGAGCGAAACGTGGCCATGCCACTGATACCATTATCACCGTTTTTATCACCTTATCACTGTTCGGACAGGGCGTGTTTAATATCACGTGCGAGGATATTCGGATGTCTTGGATGTCCATTGCGACTGATGTGGCGATGCACGCTCGCTGGGCGGGATCGAGGCAGCTGCAGCCCATTAGGTCGCCAAGCCCGCGTCGCGTTGACGTCCGCTGTCAGACGCCAGCCGTCCCGGCTCTCCGTTCCGTCGAGCCGGGCGTCCCACAAGCGGCGCTGAGTGAAGCCGTGGTCGTCCCGCATCTGGGGCAGACTTGTGCGTGGTTGCGGCGGCGTGAGTGGGCTGGCGGCGGGCTGAAGTTACCTGTCGGCCGTCTGAGTGCCGCGTCGGTCAGTCCGGTGACCCTCTCGCCCGGTCTGTGCCCAGAACCCGGTGATGAGCACCAAGCCGGGGGTGGAGCCGCGCCGGCCGCCCAAGCCGGTCAACATCACGCCGCTGTGCCGCATCTCGCCGGTGCAGCCCAACACGGTGCAGATCTCGTGGGGCGTCGAGCTGGGCCGCGCCTACTGCGTCACCATCTGCCTGGTGCGCCGGCTCAGCTCGCACGACCTGCTCACGAGACTGCGCACGCGCGGCGCCAAGAACGCCGACTTTACGCGCGGACTCAGTGAGTTTCGGGCGGTGAGGGCCTTAGGTCCAGACTCAGTGAGTGTCGGGCGGGGAGGGCCTTCGGTTCAGACTCAGTGAGTGTCGGGCGTGGAGGGCCTTAGGCCCAGATCCATTGAGTATCGGGCAGGGAGGACCTGAGTTCCAGATCCATCGAGTATCGGGCAGGGAGGACCTGAGTTCCAGATCCATTGAGTATCGGGCAGGGAGGACTTGAGGTCCAGATCCATTGAGTATCGGGCAGGGAGGACCTGAGTTCCAGATCCATTGAGTATCGGGCAGGGAGGACCTGAGGTCCAGACCCATTGAGTGTCGGGCAGGGAGGACCTGAGGTCCAGACCCAGTGAGTGTCGGGCTGGGAGGATCTGAGTTCCAGACCGTGTCGGGCGGGTAGGACCTACGGTCTGGATCAGGTGGGATAACTAATGACGGTGTACAGAAGTTGCGGGAACGCGCCGTTCAGAACAGGATCCGCATGCACGAAGGGGCTCAGGAGGGGTCCGGTTGAGACGATGAATGGCCTAGTACGCAGCGCGTGGGAAATTCTGAACGGCTGATCGCGGGGACGTCAGGGAATGGCGCCCGGTACGTCACCTGCTTTGAGCGCCGAGTCTACCTGCGTGTGAGATATAGTAAAACCAGTGCGCCTTGCGTTCCTGTGGCGCAATTGATGTATGTGTGTATGCTGTGGCGCTGCTTCAATAACAGCGATTATCGCCTCCGTCTCTTAGCATTTCGAGACGAATCCAATCGGCTGATAAGTTTGTCTTTGTTAGGTGGCAGCCGCCGCATTTTCAAAGACGTTCAACAGTCCACGTCGCTTAGCGTGTTCGGGCATATTCGGTTATTCGGGTCCTTGTACTCGGTGGCCAGTTTTGCTGGCGCTCAGACCGCAGTGCGGTCAGTGTCCTTCGCTGCCGCGGCGGCACCAGCCGTGGGGCGATGCTTTGAGTGCCCGCGGGCGGGGCCCACCATGCCGCGTGCGTCGACCTGTACCGCTTGATGCCTGCAGTCAAGGAGAAGCTGTGCGAGGGCTTCGAGGACGAGATCGCCACCACTTCGCTGAAGTGCAGCCTGCAGTGTCCGCTGGGCAAGTGTCGGATGCAGCTGCCGTGTCGGGCCACCACCTGCCAACACCTGCAGGTGGGTGCAGTCGAGGATGTGGCGATAAGTAGGAGGTGGCGGGTTTGCAGCAGGTGGTGACGTACCCGTGAACAAGGTAGGTCGCGGAAGACCTACACGTTCACGTAGCAGACGTCAGGAATCAGCTAAATTCGAAGCGATTTCAGGATCCAGGTCTTTCCACCAGCATACAATGCTTGGCTGACGCATGCGCGCACGCAGTGTTGTGAGATAAGCCAGTGCATCAAGGGTCGTGCCTTTCTATTGCGTCGGCGCCTGAGACTCTCCCGCCACCGGGTGCTACCGTGGCTCCGCCCTCCCAGTCAGCGTCCGGCCGGCTGTCGGCCCGGCCCGACCCGGACCCGTGTGATCCAGACCCGGTCCCGAATCATCCCGACTGGAATCCTGACCCCCGACCGGGATCATCCCGACCCGGACCCTGACCTTGACCGAGATCATCCCGACTCCAACCCTGACCCCGACCGGGATCATCCGGATCCGAATCATTCTGATCCGGACCCGGATCATCCCCACCCGGACCCTGACCCCGACCATTATCATCCCGACCCGAACCCTGACCCCGACCGGGATCATCCGGACCCGAATCATTCTGACCCGGACCCGGATCATCTCACCGAGCGCCCTCTGTCTTCAGTGCTTCGACGCGTCGCTGTACATCCAGATGAACGAGCGGAAGCCCACCTGGGTGTGTCCCGTGTGTGACAAGCCGGCACTGTACTCCAGCCTCGTCATTGACGGGTGAGTCCCCGAGGGTAGATGGCGACTACTAGGGCTGTGGTGAAGCAGAACAGACTCGTCACTGACGGGTGAGTCCCCGAGGGTAGATGGCGACTACTAGGGCTGTGGTGAAGCAGAACAGACTCGTCATTGACGGGTGAGTCCCCGAGGGTGGATGGCGACTACTAGGGCTGTGGTGAAGCAGAACAGACTCCTGCTGTCTTACTATGATAGTGTGTGTTTCATGGGTTGTATGGGCCAGTCTTCACCGTCTTGGAGACCAAATGTCAGCCACTTGGGTCGGGTTCCGGAATGACTAACTGGTACCACCTTAAAAAGAAGTTGCAGGTACTTATTGAGTTATTCATGAAGGATTTGAGACGCAAGATGTATGCCGTTGCTGTAGTGCACTGGTCTGAATCGCTCGGTGTGACCGGCCGCCGGTGTGCACCGCCGCCGCAGGTACTTCGCCGAGGTGCTGAAGAAGACGAGCGGCTCGTGTATGGACGTGACGCTGCACCAGGACGGCTCGTGGCGCGAGCTCACCAAAGAGGTCAAGGAGAAAAAGCCCAAGGTGAGCCGGCTGCGCGGCGGGGCCGGACGGCCGCGGCTGACGGGGAGGTCAGCCGCGGCTGACGCGGAGATCGACCTCGGCTGACAAGCAGGACAGCAGTGGCTGACGAATAGGACAGCAGTGGCTGACAAGCAGGACAGCAGTGGCTGACGAGTAGGACAGCGGTGGCTGACGCGGAGGTCGACCTCGGCTGACGAGTAAGACAGCAGTGGCTGACGAGTAGGACTGTCGTGGCTAACGCAGAGATCGGCCTGACCAGACTGGCGTCCGGGACTGTCGTGGGCCGTGCACACCGTGCGCGTGTTTCTCGGGCTGGCGTGAGCGACGGCCGCGTGACGTCCGTGTCGTCGCCGTAGCCGGGCACGGCCGGCCGCCGCCGCCGGCGCCGGTGGGGACGGCTGGGGTCAGCCTGTCGCGTGTCTCCCCGGTCTGTGTGGGGCGTGCTGACCGGGGCCTCTCGTTTCAGGAGGAGGAGACGGCGGTCAAGGTGCAGACGCTGGAGGATGACTCCGGATCCGGTGAGCACCCCCCCCCCCCCCCCCCCCCCGCCTTGTCATGCCTCGGTGCCTTCCCTGCTCCCAGTGGACGGGTCATGCCCCTGGACTCCAGAAGTATTGACCCTTGGTCTTCAAGACTGTCACCTGTGGACTTAGAGACTTTTTCTTCTGGACTCCAGGACTGCTGGCCGGGCAGATGGTCCTCATCGTGATTCTGTTGGGGCGAGGCCGACCTGTGCTGTGGGCGTGCGGGGACGGCGGGATGGACAGTTTGACTTGTGTTGTGAACCGTCTTGACGCGTGATGCTGAGTGTTCCCGCGCTTGTATAGCACCGATGTGTTACTGCTGGACTTGTCAGGTCGTCGCGACCACTTCATGCCGAAGCTGTATCAGTCGTTCCCATGTATACTCTGGGAAGGTAGTCCGGCATGCGGAAACGAACGAAGTCGTTCCGATTTTTTTTACTGCGTTTCGGGAAGTAGTTGGTTGTGTGAAAGGCACGTGGAAGCCTGCAGCGGTTGATCCGGTGATGCGCCCTTACCGACCGGCCATGGGTGAGATGCGCCGACTGATGAAGGTCTGTCCTCCGTCAGACGAGGTGAAGGTGACGGAGGAGAAGGAGGGCTCCCCGGAGAAGAAGAAGAAGGAGCCGATGTGCGTCGACCTGACGCTGTCGGACAGCGACGACGAGGCGCCGCCGCCGCCCAAGAAGCGACTGGTGGCCGCCGCCGCAGCCGAAGGCAAATGGCAGTCGACGCCCGTTGGCGACACAAAGATCAAGCTGTCCTGTGGGTGTTCGCGCGCGTCGAGGGCTTCGCCTAGCATGCGTCCGTCGAAGGCTGACCCGGAGCAGTATGCTCTGAGTGGCCGGGGCTCGCCGCCCCACTAACCCGGCACGATCACGTGACGTCCACTGTCGCGGCTTCAGGTCCCCTGAGCTGGGCATCTGCGCCCACCGTCGAGCATGAGGTGGCTTTGGTCTCTCCCTGCTTCTGCTCTGACGCTTAAATGTCGCATTCCTACTGACCACTTCTTGGCGAATGTCGCTTCACTGATGTCGTTACGGCATCTGGTTTTCTCTGAGAATATGGCTGCACAATCTGCGACACCGAAAAGTTATACCGTTGCACTGCTATGCCGACTTACCTCTAACGTTGAATCATCGAATGTGCACTTACTCAATTGCCAAGATAAATTCGCATGCCGAGATAAATTTGCATGCCAAGATAAATTTTGCCACGCCAAGATAAACCGTGAACTGCATGCTGCCTTCTTTAACTGATATGTCCAGATTTAATATGATATGTTCAGTGCTTTTAAGTCTAACAGTGTTCCCATATTCACGTTGTCTGTTGTATGCAATAACAGTGCGTGACCATCTAGAGTATAGCTGGTCCAAAAATGGTAACTTCAGCAAGGCACTCAGTGTCATTCGATGTTCACCATACGCAGTTATGTTCCTTATCTGAACGTTAATTTTGCAATCCTCTGGTTTTCCTGCGGTTAGCTGACTGCTTGTGCGCGAAACTTGCAAAACTGGAAGACCATAAAAGTATTCATATGAAGGGCAATGTTGCTGATGTTATTGCTCGTGCGTTGTACATCGCGTTTGGGATAGTTTGTCCTGATGTCTGTTTGTGCCTTGTTGCAGTCTCCGGGAGCAAGCCGACCTCGTCGCCGGAAGTGTCGACATCTGTCGGCGCGTCCAGCAGGTAAGGGTTTGTCGGAAGTCCGCCGGAGGCACCAGCCGTTGCCGCGCCATAGTGCCCTGTCCGTGGAGGCGCCAGTCACCGGGCCGTGCGGCCACCCGGACCATCCTGGCCGCCGTTGTTTGTGGTCAAGGTTTGGTCGTTGTCGCGCTGTCTCTTGGCGCTGTATTCCGTAAAACAACAAATTGGTGTGCTTATTTTCCCGTAATCATAAATAGCTGTGCCGGCTTCTCGAGAAGGCCTGACGTCTTCCGTGCGCTCTGTGCTATGCTGGTGTTGGGTTTGGCTGTCGTCCAGCTCCCTTAGCGGAGCTGTTCGCGTGGCGCTGCTCTGACGCGACCTGACCTGACCCGACCCGACCTGACCGCAGCCTGGCGGCGCTGCGCAGCATGTCCATGTCGCCGGGGGCGCCGCCGCCCTTCTACCAGGCCCGGTCACCGACCTCCACCGGTCTTCCCTTCATGGGTACGTGTTAGCCGGCAACAGCCCGGAGCATTGAAAGAAGCGACTGTCGTGCCTGCTGGTAGATGCCAGGTGTGCTTCGCGGGTCTCAGGGGTGTACGTGCAGGTGGCAGTAACCACCAGGAAGGCAGGTGTGGCTGTGCCCGTCTTGATTGCCAGGGTCACTGGTGTGATGTGTGCCCCCTGCGAGGCCGGGATGCTCTGGACATATAGCCCAGACCTGTGAAGCCACCCCCTCCAGTGGACCGATAGATCATGCTCATGTATGATACTCCCCGGCGTGTATCCCTGAACGTGATCCTGACCAGCATCCCTGAACGCTCATCCCCTGTTCAGCATCCCCCGGCCGTGTTGCGTTTGAGCCGTCGCTTCAGACGGACCCCGCGCGACTGCGACTGACCCGCCTGCTGCCGCCGGCAGACGCCTGGACGCCGTTCATCCCGCCGCCGCTGCCGCACATGAGCAGCGGCTGGCCGACCGGCAGCAGCGCTCCGGCCGCCACGCCGGCCGCGCCGCCGGCGGCGCCCGCCTCCCCCGACATCATCTCGCTGGACTGACGGCTGGCGCTGGCGCGGGCCCTGTGGTTTTAGCGGCCCGCCGCGGCCGCCGAGTGGCGCACGACCGCCTGTGCGCGCGCGCGCAGGCGTGAGCGCGTCGGCGGTGTGCTCGGACGTGAGTGCGTGCGCACGCTGTGGACCGTCTCAGGCGCGGCCGTGACCAGGGCCTGATGGACTGGCAGTGTCGGGCGCGGTGCGCGCGCGGGTGCTCTTCCGATGCGACGCCGCCTCTGAGAAGTCCCGCGCCGGGACCGTCGCCTGATTTCCAATCATCCTCACAGTCTGGGCCGCGGCCTCGCAGAACGTCGAATTGAACTCATCAGCTCTTTTGTTTTGTATATGTTTTAGAGTGTTATAGTGCCGGCGGTAGGACCGGTTGACGGGCAGGTTGGCCTGTTATCTGATGACAAAGCTCCGACGTACTCGGTGGGTAACCGGGCGCTCTCTGCCGCTGAGGCTCTTGATCATTGGCATCATCTGTTGTAAATATACGTATTTTACTGAATCCTTCGGCCAACCAGGCCCGTCTTTCCTTCAGTGTCCGTATAGAGCGCTTATTCCAGTGGCGTCATCAATTGCTACCCAATCTACGATTCCTGGGCGCCCCGTAGCGTAGCTCTCAAACCAACCTCACGGGAAACGGTGACGTCATGAGAACACGTGACCGCAGACATCACGAGATAGCCGTGCCTGGTAGTGTCTTGCGGCCAACCTTCTGTCATCAGCGCTAGCGCTGAAGATGTCTAAAAAGGATCGACAATGCCTCTCGTTTGCACGCCCGCCAATCCCCTTACATGCCCGTCAATGGATTGGGGGTGTTGTGGAGAAGGAGCCATCGCTGTCCGGCCCGGTGTGGCCTCGGATGCCATGCGGACAGCTGGGTCACTGGTTACCGTTTTCAGAGTCCGTGTACTCAGACGGATCGTTGGCGTTTTAATGGGTTAATGCGTTGATCGTTTGGTCAACGGGCCTTTGAACGATCAAGCAGCCTCCCGACGGTTCGAAGCAACTAGCCAGGCGGTAAGACGGTCTTATCGCCCATTATCACGATATCCAGCTATTTGCTGTGTTTTATTTATTTCTGCTACGTGCTGACGTTTTTAAATATTTCGTAATATGAAATTTAAATCGTAATTTCTTTAACGTTTCGTAAAATGTACGTTTGTACTCCAGTGGTGTATGCATCGCAGGGACGTCCTCACATGATTAACTGCAAATGTGACTTCGACTGTAAATTGTCGGCTTCGAATGCAACAAACATTTGACCTCGAATTGTCCACCGAATGCAGCCTGAGGGAGCCGCAGGCCCGTCTTTCCTTCAACTTTCAGTATCGTGTTTTGGCGGGGTTCCGGCTGCAGCGCCCACCCTGGACGCGAGCGCGGTGGTGTAGGCGGCGCCACATGTCGGCGGCGCTGCATGCGCGCATGGCCCCGCTGCAAATGCGTCTCCCCCGGCTTCGCTAGATGGCACTGTACTATCGGTGGCATATTTTCAACTTGATGTCAGCTCCGTCAGCTGTACCTGCAATAATTTCCCATCGGCTTATTTATTTCTTTACGCAAACAGGAGTAGCTCCATCATTTAAAGCCTTTCACGTGGTGCATTGTTCCATAATATCTGGCATGCTTTTCGTCAACGGGAACAGAACAGCTCTACTCAGGGCTTCCTCTTCCGCCGCAGCGCGCGCGCGGGGGGATCGGGCTGCCCGATGCGCCGTCAAGGCGAACGTATTTTTGCACGAAAGGACTTGTTCAGTATTAGTGCCTAACGCACAGCAGGGATAAAGTTGGCGAACAGGTGGGTGGCGTTGACAAGATTGGGAACTACTCCGGTGAGTGCTGATTTCCATTGTTTTTTTCCATAAGGCGAAGCGGTTGCGCAGCGCGTGTTTTCATATCACACGTGACATGATGTGGAACTGGTTTGTGTTTTAGTTTGCGTGATTGCGGGGGGGACTTAACGGCCGACTAAACCTCTTGACGACCCTATGCTCCGAGCGCATGGCACCGATCGACACCAAATAATCGCCATGTGGTGCGGCTTGGTCGACAACCCTATCGTTCTTTATCTCCCGGCCAACAATGTTTGCAGAGGGAAAAGCGTCGGCCTAGGGCTTAGGTTTGCAATGAGGACCGGCTAGCCAGCTGACGAAACGTCGCTGCCAGGCTGGGTAAATTATCCCAACGAAAAGTTTTGTGCTGCTCATGACGTCATTGGTAGAAATGTGAGAAATGGACTTCTGCTACCCACATCACAAGGATTCACCAGCCACTTATGATGACAGCATTGAAGACCGAGCAGGTATTCGTAATAACACGTGTCCTGCGTCCCACTGATGACGTCACTGGGACGAGCGAGCCGGTCATCAGTTGAAAACCTTCAGTGGGACACGTTTTTCGGGCTGTGTTTTCCCGCTGCTCACGACGTCCCAGGAGACTGTTACGGTGTACGTGCGGCTACCTACGTACTCGTGCTTTACATTCTTATGGTGATGCCATTTGAAACGTGAAGTAAAAATTGAGCTGCATTTTACCTACTGCTCATGACGTCACGTGACACGAGTTATGGTCTTCGTTTCGTATCACTGGGGAACTTGATAGTGGCGGAAAACCACCTTTCCCAGCAGGCTTCTTAACTTAGCCTTATTCCTCGGAGGAAAAAAACAGGACAATGGGGATATAGTTCGGTTGATATTTCGGCAGCATGCTTTATCGAAACAATAGCAGAAGCAACCTTCAAATAGCAATAGCAATAGCAATTCAAAAACAAGAGCAGTAACAAACTTCTGCTATTGTTTCAGTAGAGACATGCTGCTAAATATCAACGGAACTATGTCTCCATTGTCTTGGTGACTATTTTCAGTTCTCTACAGGTATGCCAAGGTTGGCGCGGCTACGCCGCGCCGTTCGGATATCATTCCATCTTGCCACCGGGGCCCACCACGGCTTATTAGACACATATCCACTGTGCACGCCTAGACCGATGCAGTACCCAACCGCTCGCGTGTGTAAAAGAACGCTTGTATTTGGCTATATGCGTTAGCCACAACGCGAGATGGGTTTATGCGCAAAAAACAGTTATTACCGGACACAAATGAAATAAAGACAGTCGAAAACGGTAGCAAGATTTTACTTCCGGCTGGCAGCGCCAGCCGACAACGCGCTTCACATGAGGCCTTGTTGAGAGGAGCGTGATGAGAACGCCCGGCGGGGTCTGTCTACAGCGGGTACTGCTCACGCGCACTGCGCAGCAGCTCTCGGAAATTCTGTTGATGAGAAGGTGATGACGATGTTACAATTAGTTTAGCGGTATAGGTAGCATTTGACGAACAAGTGACGACTTCACAGGGCAGTGTAATACCCCACCCAATGCAGATGTGCACGATTGCATACGGGCGCGAGCACGCTTGAAATAGCTTCGTTACATGCAGTGTCAGCTATGCAAAGTATTTGAGCCTCAGCCGTAGTGCAACCGGGCAAGAAGACAAACAACCGTAGTGCAACCGGGCATGTTTGTCTTCGTTTTCTTGTGCCTTTACCTGCCATAGAGCAACACAATTCCTACCATTCTGTGGTGCCGCCGAGTCTACATGAAATCATCTATGTAGCTTGGCAGAAGTGCGGTGGTTGTGCCTCTCATGGATTTAAGCCGGGCCTCCATGGCTGGCCGCGTGGTTTCTATGGTGTTCGTGTTAACACCCAGAAATATGAACCAAGTTACCGGCTGAAAAAAATGATGACTAAGCGATCGAATATCGTATGACAAAGTTAACGTGCTACAAAACAGAGCACTAGGAGATGAAACCACTTGAACCATAACAAAACAAATTCACCTTAACGGTGTTCAATCTCTTAAACAAAGACTGAACAACACAAGGTATATTGTGTAGCAACCAAATATGTGCCAATTCTGACTTTCCATAGCACTATGACCTAGGTGCTACTTGGCGGTCAACCCACGGCAGCGCTTTAATCAAGTCCTGTGACCTTGTCTGTATTTGCCGCGTTATGTTTGTATGTGAAGTCGTTTGCACCATATCTTGAACGTGTGTCAGATGTTTCAGGTGTGCAATTTTCCGTCCTTGTAATGATCTACTTAATTCGTGTTGATTGTAGATAGAGTTGTTATTATTAATCGTGAATTCCAAGTCTTATTTTACTGTGTCCTCTCAGTAGTCGTTCTCGATCGTGTAACATAATCTATTAGTTTAAGTTTCGGCGTGCGGCAGCGCCGCCTAAAGACGTCTTTAGGAACTTGGACTCAGACTTGGTTATGATTTGTGAAAAATAATTTGATTCCGGCTGGTGGGCCGCGAGAAAATTTGCTTGGGAATCGGGACTGAAACTTGACATCTAAAGCTCCGGTTCCGAAACGGAATCATATTGTTGGACTCGGACTTGTTAATACCATCCGGGCGCACAAACTGGATGCGGTGGTTCGCCGCTTGGTGACGGCATCCGGCCGCCTGCAGGGCGCCGTTATGGGCGGCCCACCCGTCTGAACAAATCTGAAAGGGGATATTTTGCCTTGTTCTTTACGTTTTCAATGGTCTGCGCGGGTGTCGAGATGCTCACAGCATTTTGTAAGCAAAGCAGGATGCTTAAATCATGACCCCCCATTTGCGTTGCTTTGACCCACTTCATGAGATAACTTCATATGCGGGCGTTTTCAGACATCATCTACCGCACGGGAAAAACAAATGACGAAAAAATCGTAGGTCTGTGGTGGCCTTACAAATAAGTGATGATTACGTACTCAGGAAACGATTATTATTGAACAAATTGAAACCAGAAGTGAAAGGTTTAAAAAATCAAACTCATAGCGTTTGTTATCGTACGGAAAGATAAGGCATGATTGGTGTACATTACAGCATGTTGGAGGATCATAATGATGAAATATGTTTATATCGTACCATGCTGCCGGGCACGACGTGCTGCCGCACGACTGGTAGCAGCGTTTGGGTATTTCGATCAGGGACAACCTGGAGGTGGGCCTCTCCGGCGGAATCCACCATTCTGAATACCCAGACTTCGGACACAGGCCGGGCCCGATGATTTCTTGTGCGCTTGGCCCTGGCGACCAACGTTTCGTCGATCTGGACGAACCCATCTGGTCCGCCCGGACGGGCCGGGTGCCGGAGCATGTCGGCAGACATCACCTACGAACAGAA